TCAGTTGCCGTGATGTGGCCACATAGAAGCGCTGATGGGAGATAGGGAAAGGGTTGGGGGTCAAGCCCATGGAAACCCCAACTCAGTCTTGACTATGTCTGAACCCATCCATTTTCCCCAGGGCCTCTTCCCAGCCAACCTTGCTGGCTTCCCCTACCTCCAAAGACCCAAGTCTCCATCCTCTACCCTGTGGGGCCAAGATGGCCAGGACCACACAGGATGCATATCTGAGGCTCCCCGAGCCCAGCACAGAGCACAGCCCAGATCATGGTATCTCTACAGTGGCTGAGCTTCTACTTTCATTAATTCATTTCAGAACAGGAGCTCAGCGCCTGCAAAAGCTGTTTGCAATGAGCTCTATTTGAATGTTATCAATTCATTCATGTTAAACACATACATAAACATGTATGTTTAGATAGATAAAAAAAGAAGGGAAAGATAATAGTCCCAAACTATTAACAATGTTTTACTGAAAAGTATATCAGCTCCTATTGTTACTATTTTTGTAGAGACAGAGTCTCGCTTTATCGCCCATGGAGTGCCATGGCATCACCACAGCTCACAGCAACCTCCAACTCCTGGCTTTAGGCGATTCTCTTGCCTCAGCCTCCCGAGTACCTGGGACTACAGGTGCCTGCCACAATGCCCAGCTATTTTTTATTGAAGTTTGGCTGGGGCCAGATTTGAACCTGCCACCCTTCGGTATATGGGGCTGGCCCCCTACCCACTGAGCCACAGGTGCCGCCCTATTGTTATTATTAACTTTAAGCATTTGAGCAGTTTTGAGGAATCTGAAACTTGAACCTTGTGTGGGGGAAGCCTCCTGTCTGGAGTCACTCACACAGAATCCTAGGTGTTCAATTACACTAGTTCACTATGGAATAAAACGAAACGCCACTGGCATTAATCTCCACTGAGGAATCAGTGGGAGAGAGGCAGTTTCCTCTCATCACCGCTCAGAGGATTTTCCTCTGCAATAAGGGATGTAAGCCCTCCTGCCCATATCTCAGGGCTCGAGCTGTTCCCTTGTCTCTGCCCCACCAAATGCAAATCTCCACAATGGGTATCTGCTTTGTCTGTTCAGTGGGCAGGAAACAACCTAGAAGATGCATCTTTCCTAGGTCTTGCCATAATCTCTTTTATGGCCATTATTTTCCTCAGAGTGTTCACAGACTCAGTAGGGGTATTTGTGTAAGCTGTATTCCCAATAGGCTAGAGTTTCAGGAAAGGCTGGAAACTTGTTCAGATAAGAAATTTAGCAATAGTTGGCTTGGTGCCTATAGCTCCGTGGCTAGGGCGTCAGCCACATGCACTGGAGCTGGTGGGTTCAAATCCAGCCTGGGCCTACCAAACAACAATGACAACTATGACTAAAAAATAGCCAGACGTTGTGGTGGGCGCCTGTAGTCCCAGCTACTCCGGAGGCTGAGGCAAGAGAATTGTTTAAGCCCGAGAGTTTGAGGTTGCTGTGAGCTGTGATACCACAGCACTCTACCCAGGGTGATAGCTTGAGACTCTGTCTCAAAGAAAAAAAAAAAAAAGAAATTTAGCAATGGCTAGCTTAAAGGTAAATTAGCTGACTTTTCTTTGTTCTGACTCCTTCAGCTTACTTTTTAATTTTCCCTTTCTCTGGGGGTGCCCTCCCCTGCCTGGAATGGGGTCTTCTGTCTCCATTCTGCCTGTATAGGCCAGTCACAACTTCTGAGTATTTCAGTTTATCCTCACACCAACCCTAAAGTGTAGGTTCTAAGTCTGTTTCACAGGTGAGGAAAATGAGTTACAAAGAGGTACAATAACTGATCGCCATTTCTATAGTAACAAAACCCAGCTGAGGCCTTTTTCTTGTCCCAACAATGGGGGCCCATTCTTTATCTATGTGCAATGTATCTTGCTCTGTAAACCTTTCTCCTGCTCAATAAATGTTGTTTCATTCATTGAAAAAAAAAAGCCCAGCTGCAGTGTTGGGGGCCTAAAGTGTCCCACCCCTACCTGCCCCACCCATGAGGACATCCCACCCACCAGCCCACACCATGCCAGCTACTCACCCACCTGCACAAAGGCATAGAGTGCAGCTAGGGGCACGGTGACCACAGCAAAGAGAGGTGTGCTGGCTACGATAACCACGAAAGTAGAGATGATGTCAAAGAGGGAAGCCAGCACACTGAGGATGGTGGGGCCCAGATCCTCATCGATGACCTGGATGTCCTTGGAAAAGCGGTTGAGGATACGGCCAGAGGGCGTGGTGTCAAAGAAGGACTGTGGCGAACGCATCTTGTTATGCAGAAGTGCCTGGTGCAGAAAACGCGCAGCCTGCATGGAGCCCACCACCATTGTCATGACTGACAGCATCACCAGGAGACCTGTTGGAGAAGGTAGGGAGTGGCTGGCTTACCTGGGCTGAGGCCCGGGCATGGAGGGGCAGATTCATAGACATGGCTTGGCCTCAGTGGATTAGGGATGCTCCAAGCCATGGTTTGAGGGGCCTGGCAGCCCAGAGGAGAGGAAGGGATGTTGGAGCCCCTTTTGGGCACCCCAACAGTTTCACCTTGCAGAACTCCCAAGGTGGCATAGACACCCAGCCTCAGGTAGGTGCTGTACTGTGTACTGTCCGCAGTGGCATCATTGGCCCAGGCGCTGAGCCACACATTGGCCCCGATGTCAGTAGCACTTTGACCCGCAGATAAGAGACAGATGGCCAGTGAGGTCCAGAGCCCCACAGCCTTGGCATAATCCCAGTACACACTCAGCTTCACCTGTAGGGAGCAGAAGTCAGGGACAGAGGACTCTGTAAGGCCTGGGGCTGCTAGTGGCCTGTCCCTTCTCTCCAGTCCCTCCTGGTCCATTCTACTCACAGTGCCAACCTCTGCTTTCTCTTCCTGGATCAACACTCCATTTGCCTTCCCCTCTGTCTTCTGCACCTTCTCTGATGAAATGAGGTGTCTTCTGAACACAGGCTGAGACTCAGCCTCTCCTTCTGAGGACATGGCACTCAGCTGTCTGTGGAAGCAACTGATCAGGCTCAGAAGAAGGCTTCCAACCCTTGCCACCCCAGGACAGAAGCCCAGGATGTGAGTATCAGGGACAATGCCTGCCTGCATCCCACCTGGCAGGGCTTAGGGAGACGTGCTACAGCCTCCCTGGGACGGGGGAGGGCTGGGAGCTCTTAGCAGCGCACCTCATAAACTGCTTCTGGACTTTGTATGTGATGGGCTCACTGTCCATCAGGTCTGTGTGGTGGCTTAGCGAAGCTTCAATACGCTGCTCATCCTCTGCTTCTTCCAAGACTGCGGCTGGGTGGGAGGAAGTGGATGGGGTTGCTAGCTCTCCCTGAAAACCCCCAATCCCCCAATCCCCCCTCCATTGAAGGGTCTTAAACCGACAGGCATGAGAAAAGATGAGGGATTGAAAGGGCAACAAGAAAGACTCAGGTTAGACAACAAGAAGAACTTCCTTTCAGGCCCATGGAGGAGACACAAATATAAGGGTTAGGAACTTGGGCTCTGGAGTCAGACTGGCTGAGCTTAAATCCCTTGCTGCATGACCTC